AAAAAAAAAAAAAAAAAAAAAAAAAAAAAAAAAAAAAATAACTCACCTGCAACTGAGCAAAGGACAATCCAAAGAAAGTAAAGTCCTCGTCGTAGATGGGATCCCGAGTATTCCGAACGACGCGAGTCTTGGTGCGATGTTGCTTGTCGGGCAAGAGCTGCAGCTTGACGTAGGGATCGCTGCTGTGCTGGCCCCGAGCCGGCAGGTTTTTGCACTGGACGACCGTGACCACGAGCCCGTTCTGTTCGCTCAGGTAGTGCAGCTTGAACACCAGCTTGCCGAGACTGTCTCGGCTGGCGTCGACGCAGTCGACGATGCCATTGCTGATGCCATTGTTGTTGTTGTTGTTGTTGTTGTTGTTGTTGCGGTGGGCCTTTTCGCTTATCTCAAGCTCGGCTTTGTCCCGCTCGTTCTCGATGCTCAAGGTGACGTCCACACTCGGCTGGGTTGGGGTTCCTGCCCCTGTCACACGTGCATTTTGTTACTTTACTTCAGAACTTTTTCACGTCATTCGTGCGAAAACAATTTTTTCTCATCCGACTTGTGAATATACATCAGTTGAATTTGCATGAGCACAAATAAAAGTACAAATTTCACCGAAAATCGAAACATCGTAGTGCTTATTAATATTCAGCTCAGCTGCTTCTTTTTTTTTCGCCATTTATATGTTGTCGATCAAGTCGGATACAGACGGACCTTTTTTCTCAGCAAGATTTTTTTTCTTTTTTTTCTTTTTTTCTTATTAATCCAAAGCTGTATATACGCCGAGCCACGGTTACCATTAACTTAAGTCTGCGGAGTACGTCCTTTGCAAGTAGGTACATGACGTCTTTTCTCTCACCACCATTCAGCCAAGTCCGTCTAAGTAGAGTGTCACGCTGAGCTTAATCTCCCGGTGTGGGTCTGTCTTTCGATGTACATACATTTATGGGAGCTTTTTCGTCTACCCTCAAGAAAACTTTTCGTTCTTATAGTCAAGTTGGCCCACTCTCTCGTAACAATACTGCATTCGATAGCATAAGGGGGGACAAGGGAAATTAATTTTTTTTTTTTTTTTTTTTTTTTTTTTTTTTTTTTTTTTTTTTTTTTTTTTTGAATATTCATTTTCTACTTCTACTGGTTCGGTGACCCACATGCTGACAAAGTTTGCCGAGCTCAGTCAACATTATTTTTCACGATCGCTTTGAGAAATCGAGTTCAGCATCGTTAGTTGCGCCGTAAGTGTGCCTCTATTCATTTTTTGAAGCTGAATTTACAAGTAAGTACGTATTCGAAAAATTAATTTTTTTTTTTGAGGATTGAAAAAATAGATTTGCCACTTGACGTATCACACTAATCCTAATTAAACGCTAATTTTTATCTAATAAGCTACGAGTACCTAAAGAGTTGTTTTTTTTTTTTTTTTTTTCACTTTTTTCGTACATGTCCACTCGTTATGAGCAAGTATGAAAATAAATTGATAATACTGTCTAAGAAAATACTTATCCTAATAGTAGTAGTTTTTATAAAAACGTGGATTTCATTGAAAGGATAGCTCTCCTGAACAGTGAAAAAAAGTCTCGACGCTTCGAATTATTTATACGGGGGGGGGAAAAAAAAGTAAAAAAGGAAACAGTTGTCGAATAATCGTCCCTCGAAAGGCACCGTTCGAAGATAAACTATCTTTAACTAGATGATATCCTTTCAGAGCCAAAGTATACGCGCTATCGATTTCCCAAAGTGTATCGTTCGAAAAAAATTCCACTCAACGGTTTTACGAGTCCACGGTAAATGTACGTATGTAATATATACTCGAATCTATACGTCATAGGATGGCACAGAGATCCCTCGATGTAGATATTTTTTATTTTGAGGACCACCACTTGGATCCCGTTTATTTGCTCTTCTTCAAATTAATTTTGGTTTTTTGCTATTTTTCCCCTACATCGGGTGTACCTCTGCAGCGCATTATTGTTTGTCGTATTTGCATATCAGGACTGAGCACTTGGTTGTGTACAAAATTATCTAAGAATTCCATCCGAATGGACTTTGAACCGTACGTATATGTAATAAATAATGTTCATCCAAGTACAGAATAAATAGTGTAAAAAAAAACCTCATGAAATAATTAATTTCTTCATCTGCCTTTCAACGCGTTAATTCCCGTTCATTTGGCTGCATCCTTGTATCTCACTGAAATATGCATTTTTCTAGTCATTTCATTCAATTGATTTTTTTACAGAAATTGAAGGACGCTTATATCACATGCCTTGCATTATTCTCAATACAATTAAAAGGTGATAAAATGATGTTGTACACACGACTAAATAATCATCATGTGTGGACTTTAAAATGACAATGAAGTGGATTTAATGAGATGAATAAACCTTTCTTTCTTATAAAACGCAAAAGTGCTCAGCATGTGTGTAATATACATATACGTGGTACACGTGATATATTTGCCATCGATATTGTTTGTATACCGTCACCTCGACAAGACGAGGAGTGGTTTTAGGGGGCGGGGAATGGAAACTAGACTCGGTGAAGTGAGGTCGATGTCGAAAATTGCCGTGATCTCATGCATCCTAGTTAATATATGCGTACAATTTATATAAGGTGAGCATACCATACAGTTATATATCCTTACTCTCGTAATTTGTGCCAATCGGCTATCTGGCGCTTCGGTGAATTGCACACTTCGTTCCAATGATTAAGCGTCGAGCCCTGGCATTTAGGTCCACCGATTTCCAGTCGTCCGATCACCTTTGAACAATCGTTATGTTAAAAACGAATGGAGGATTTTATTGTTAATGACGTGAGAGTTTGGGTCTGAAATTACCTCATTCTTGGTAACTCGGTCCCAATCGAGCAGAGCAAACTCGAGACTGATTTTGCCAAGGCCTTCACCGCTGTTCGGTATCTCGAAGACGATCGATTCGTTGAAGATCGGGTTGAGGGTGCGCTTCTTCACGTGCGTCTTCCTCTTGGCGATGCGCTGGCCGTTGTAGAGCAGATAAATCTTGACGTAAGGATCCGCGAGTCCCGTCACGTCCATCTTCGGCAGATTTCGCGCCTTCAGCACCACCACGGTGAGCTTGCTTGCGGCTGGCTGCCAGCACAGGGACACCAGTAGCTCGCCTCGGCCCTGCGACTGGATCTGCCGTCGAATAAGATATCGCACGATAAACACACACAACGTGGTGTCAATTGGCATTATTTCCGTGAAATTTCAGTTTGGTAGGGGGTTAAATGTTGATTGACGTTTTTCGATGGTTATTACCTTCAAGCTTCGAGGACAGATTTCCCGGCAGAGCGAGATGTTCTGGGTTTGCGTGAGGTGCAGGTTTTCTACGGACGAGAGCGGGCAAACTACCTCGCCGATCACGTCGTCGCGGGAGTACCTGTCGAAACTCATGATGACAAAGTGGAGGCTGATTTTCTGCAAGTAATAGTACCATTTGTTTGTTTACTTACACGGTTCTTCATTTTCTTGCTTACGTTTAGATAGTTTTTTTTTTTTTTTTATTAAATGGTTTTGAAATGTTTTTCAGGGACAAATATAATAATGAATTCTATCAAGAAAAATCGACAATTTAAATCAATTTTTTTAACCATCCTTGCGTTTACACAAGATCTTGCAACAATACTTGGAGAAAACATCTGTATTGGTTATAAAAAATAAAAAAATACATGTCATTGCGAACGTAAGTTGAACATAGAAATAATTCTTCCAATTCCATTGGATCCATCCAAGAGAAATTCAATTTTTTTTTGTTTCGTAAGGTTAAAAAAAACCACGTCGATCGCCAATTGAGCTGAAAAAATTGAAAACGACTTTCCAAGAGGCACGGATTAAATTATGCTAATGGATGTAGTTTGCATTTTGCGCACAAGGCATCAAGGGGGAGAAGGGTCCGCCGTAAAAAAGGCATCAATCCCTCATTAAGTACCTATGAAATTTATGCAGTCGGTCGAATCGATTATCAATAAATATTCAACGCCACGGTACTGGTAAGTTTTTACTCCGTACTCGAAAAAAAAAAAAAAAAAAGTAAAATCCAAAACCAACACGCAGATTTTATCCAATGAAAAAAAAAAAAAAAAAAAAAAAAAAAAAAAAAAAAAAAAAAAAAAAAAAAAAAAA